CAGTCCGGTATCTTGGCTTTCTCTTAGACAGACGACTAACATGGAATCCACATACTCGACTTAAAAGACAGGAACTTAACAGACGATATGGCCAGCTATATAGACTACTGAATAGAAAATCTAAACTTTCTGGTGAAAACAAATTACTGATCTACAAGACAATACTGAAACCCATCTGGACTTACGGACTAGAACTATGGGGAACAGCCAAATTTTCTAACATCAAACGCATTCAATCCTTTCAGTCTAAAGTCCTCCGTACAATAGTCAATGCTCCCTTCTATGTAACCAATAAAACCCTACATCATGACCTTAATATCCCATTTATTCTTGATCTTATCCCAGCCAAATTTTCCAAATTTCACCAGAACCTTTCTCATCACCCAAATCCCGTTGTACAATCCCTATCAAGCACCACCCATCCCTACAATCCCCTTCGTAGGTTAAAGCGGCAGTGGCCACGAGACCTTTTGTAAATATGGATATTTTGGAGTTCTAGCAATGGCCAGATTCTCCACTCAAGTCATGAGTGTCTGTGGCTGTAGCGCTCTTACTCATCCTCCGCTGGTTTAAAATACCAGTGAAGTGGCTGAGGGAGAAGCGTAGGGATCTCCTAGGCCTCCCTTTTCCCTCCACATGTGGAGGGGACAGGATTGGTTCGGAGATCACCTGGCAAATTGTAAATAATGTATGTTTTATATAAGGTGTTTGTTTTACTTTTATTTCTATTTTTATTTACTTATGTGTATATATATTTTTTTTTTCTTTACTCTTTTGTTCTTTCTTCTTATTCTTTTGTTATTACTTTATTTATTTATATTTTTGTATATACGGTATGAATGCAATCTCTGAACTCTATTATAAGTGTCCTTAACTGTGACAAATTGTAATATTTCTGAATAAAGTGTTTTAATAATCAAAGAAATAGGAAACAGAATCCAAAACTGAAATATTTTTACAGTGAACTGTCATGTTGCGATTAGACTCTGCGATATTTAAAGTCGATCAATATATTGCCAATTACATATAAAATCAATAATCAATTTATAAAAATAATGTTTAGCATAGGCCTACCATGGATCTACTCATATTTTTTTTTTTTTTTTAAACTGTATTTATATCCTTGTTTATTCAATAAGCTACTCAGTTATCTTAAGAAAAGTAACTACGTGATTAGGACTGTATCAAATCGAGAATAGTCTTAATGAAACGTGTGACTGAAGGTGGCAAGTACGTAGTATTTGTATTTTAAATTTGAAAACAACTTTGTTTACTTCAGTGTATTTCTTGCCTTGACTATGACAATGCTGCCAAGGTTATGCGAAACGGTAAACAAATTTAATATTTTCAAATTATTCTTTTTTAATATTTCTCAAATATAAGGCTTGGTGCTAGTGTATAACAGATATATACGATATATTTTCAGATTTATATATAAGATATATTTACAACCTAAAATATTTACAAAGCGCAATGTGCCTCAAATATTAAATTTAAAAAAAAATATCGATCAAGATTTTTTTAAAAATAATTATTATTTTATATTTATATTAATTATTATAAGTAAACTCTCTTAATTAACTTACGATATTACAGCTTTAGAACCACAGATTCAAAGAAAGAAAATACACTTTAAAATATTTCGTTGCAAGTTTCCTGAAGATTTTTTATTTAAACTCACATTTTTTCTAACTAATGAAAAAAATAAAAACAGATGTTTATTTATTTCTTCAAGCTTCAGCTGTTTTTATCCAAAATTATCAAATTTAATGAATACAGATAATTTATAAAAATAATGCAAACATTATTAAAAATTGTCAATTTTCTACTTTAAACACACAGTTATTCAAATATTTCATACATCTCAGTAACAAGAAATGAAAAAAACATTTTAAAATAGAATTCAGAATTTATTTTTGTATTGAATAAATTAGTTCAAACTACATAGATATAAAATTTATATATTAATTTAATTTATTAGATATTTATTAACTGAATCTTTAATTAAATATCCAAAAATAGCTATATTCCATAATCTTAATTTTTTTTGTTAGAGAGATTTTATTTGTATAAAGCTCTTTTTTTTCTTTTCTTTTTTTTTTTAATTTTTAAGTTAGATAGCAAACTATCTATAATTTTATTTTAGATCTTTTTATTATTTCATGGATGCTTTTCAAAACCTTCTGAGAAGTTTCCAAAATATTTAAATTTTGATATTTTAAAATTCGAGGCCCTTTTGTGGTCCTCTTACTTCCATGCATTTCTATTTAACAAGAAGTGAAAATTAATTCCTTCATAACGTCCTTCAGTGTTGTACATGGACCTGTAACGAGAGTTTGAATTTCTGCAAAGTAGTGGAGTACGAAAATTATTACAGTTTTGATGTTCTCTTCATCTCCAAAAAGGAAAAAAAAAAGAAAAAAAATGTGTCAACGCCTTCCAACAAAAAGGCTGTCTTGAAAGATTTAGGAAGAACATTAAACTACTACATTAATTTAAATATAAATAAGTAAATATGTTTGAAAAATAATTTGAAGGTTAAATCAGATTTATTAAGATTATAGTAAAAATAAAAGTCTCGGTAAGGAAGTGAGGTACTTTTCTGTTATTGCCCCTCCAGTAAAACAATTAAGTTTTTTTTTAAATTATAATTTAAATATGTGCCATAAAAAAACATGATTAAATTAAAAAAATAAATAAATAATCGAGTATTGTTTCAAACGATGATGAAGATGAATTTGAAAAAAATGTTTAGAGAAGTGTATGATGATAGATCTGCTGTGAAATTTTATCAGGATCATATAGCATTATTGAAGAGAGCAAAATTTGGGGCCAAAAAATTAGAGCGACGAATCCACTCACCTCGAATATAAAAGATATTCATTATTTTTACAATGATTGTCTTCTTGTTAACAAATAATTGTTTGCACCATATGTTTTTAATTCTAATTTTATATATTATTTCTAGAAGGTGTTTTTTTGTCGGTACACCAAAACTTCGTCAATTCTTCATCAAATCCAATGATTGACCACTCATTTTGAAGATATTCTTCTCCTTCACATGCGAAAAATAGTCCCATCCCCCTGAAATTTCTGGAAAAAAGTTATGGAGGAAAAGAAACTTTATTTGCGAATAACTCAAAAAGTATGCATTTTTTTCTTGATTGTACCCATAATAATTAGAAAGATTACTAAATTACTTTCAAAACAAAATTAAAAAATGTAAAAACCTATTAGAAATATGTAAAATTTAAACAATTTGTATTTACGGAAGGAGTAAGGTGTGTTGAAATATTTTTTTAAGAAGGAAGAGAGTTGAGATTTGTATTTCGCAACTCGAAAGATCCTCGATACGAATCGAAAAATAAATTTTATTCCCTACTTATTTGACCTAGGGGGGAGCCTTTGATATTTTTTCGAAAATCACAAAAAGTGTTATAACTTCAATATTCTTCCACTTATTCACACGAAATTTTGCAGGGATATAGGGCCTTATAAACTACACGAAATGACACAAACTGTACCTTGCTAAATAATTTAGAATTCAAGTGATAATTAGAAAGATTACTAAATTACATATAAAAAAAAACAAAGAATCGTAATATTGTGAAAATTATTAACAAAGATACAGTCCATTAGTTTTGGTATACTTTATAATGTCTTCCTGTTTAAAGATATTGCATTTAGGCACAGAATAGTCTACTGCATTTTTTTCCTGGCTTTTATATTAACTTTATTATTTCTTAAAGACATTCGCTTGTTGTTACATTTTATTTTTTTTAATAATTAAAAATATCCTATGATCGGCGCATTATTTTGTCTATATTACTTTTATTATCTTTCCATTCAGCCTTTAAAAATAGATCCAAGCAAAGCAATTTGTATAATATGTTTTGGTCTATTATATTTAATGGAATGTTGTAATCGACTAAGGAAAAACATTAATTCCAATAATTAATTTCTTCCTTACATAATACATAGGAACTAATTATTTCTATATTGTTTTACTATTTCTTCAGTAAAATTTTCTGGGAATTTTTCGCACCGGCCAACTAGTTTTACCATATAATTTTTTTTTAATTAGCTTTTTTACTGTTGGGGTAATAACAGAAAAGTACCGAAAGTGAATATTAAAATAATTTGTTACTGCCATGATTGGAAGAAAAAATATAAATTTTCTTAAGATAAATAAAATCTTAAAGTTAGGCTTGATTCGAATACGACAAGCGGTTCTTACGATCTATTTCAATTACGTCAAGACTGTTAATTGAAAATAAGCACACTATACCCGGGGGTTGCCAAAGAAACCCTATTCCAACCGCAAAGATTTGCAATGGCGGAAGGAATTTTCTCAGCGACTCGGCGTATTTCGTACGTTGACTGCAGCCAAGGTTAAGGGAAACGGTAAACAAACTTTCACTAGTTGGCTAAGGTCAGGAGTACCGTAAGCCTCTCGTTTCTCAATGGAATTCTAACGCCGTACGGTACGTCATCGGAGGGTCGGCCAGTCGAGGAAACGCTGATGTCTTTATTATTTTACTTAAATTAAGTCCTCAAAATACTGTCGCACCGGGCAAATAAGTCGTACTGGTTTATTGGGAAGTGTCTAAAATCATTATTCTTTTATTTTTTTCTATGTTAAAAAACCATATGATAAATTATGCACCATTAATCAATTTTGAACAATAAAACTAAATTGTATTTCATAAAAAAAAAAAGAACAAAACGATAGAGTATTAAAATAGGAGTGAAATAAAATTTAAAAAGTTTTTTTTTTAAGCACTTTAATAATAATGGACTTAATATATTAACCCTATATGTCTAACAAGAGGTTGCCACTCTTTTCTGACCAAAGTAGGAATTAAAAACTTACTTTTCAGAATGATATCTAAATATATATCAACTACGTATTTAACTGAACACGCCGCAATTTTCCTTAACAAAAACATGTTACAATTAATAATAATTATTTTTAAAATCAAGTAAATTAATCATAATACCTGGAATGATTCTGTTCTTTCTGTCAGGCTCCATATCCTAAATACGGTTATCTTCTGGGACGGTAAATTGGTAAATACAACCTCACAAATCTGCACTTCACCTTAACATAAAATGCAATGCGCCCTTTCACCTAACAAGAGGTTTTATAACATTCACACCTCCCTTGTCAGAAAGTTTCCATATGACGCAAAGTGATTTTCGATTGTCAGGATTGAATGTTAAGACCAATTGCAAAAACTCCAAATTTTTTGCTCATTACTCTTCCATTGTTCTTGAAAAATGTCAGGTATGAAGCAAAACCGATGGCGTCACCGTTATTAATTCATATCGTCTATCCATGGAGATTATATCGATAAAAAATATATTATATCTAAATAAATGGACACACCTCTACGATTTCTTCGGCAAGGTTAATGTAGTAAATATGCATAGGTTTAACACCATGTGTTTAAATTAACTCAATTCGTTTTTATAAAAAAGGTTATAATTCTAAGATGATAATATTTGGTGAACGTAGTTAAAAACAATTAGCGTCACAGAAAAATACCACAACATTCGATAGGTTTTAATTATTTTACAAGACCAACTAACTTGTAAATTACGCATTCAGTAAATTTTATAATTATTGTTTATCGAAAAAAAATGTTTTATAAGATAGCCCGAAAGCTGAGGTGAGTAAATTAAATAAACTTTTCAATATTAATTAAAATTAAAATCACATGTTGACATATTCCAGTTAAATGTAGCAGACATAATAAAAATGTATTCCAAATCTTGTTTGCGTATTTAGAGAGACATTTATTGGTGAGTATCGGCGTCTGTTGTTAAAAATATATACATATACATAGCAGAGACAGGAAACCACTAAAATAATTCGAATTATTAAAAAAACGTGATCGAAATCAGGTGAATCACAATAAGATCAAACCTTGAAAACAGACCCCCTTCAATGATATTTAATTTAGTGATGACTGAATAAGTGAGTGTAGATAGATATTGCATCGACAAAAACCTACAGATTAAATGCTAGATTTTAATGAGAATTAATGGACATTGGACTTGTAACAGGTGAGATAGTATAATACAAATGCCTAATTTCATCCAAAATGCAGGTATAGAATAAAAAATCCGTCAACGTTTCTTTTCTGATGATGCCTACATTTTCTAAACTTTGATTTTTTTTTTTATTCTTTATCTACATTTTGGACACAAATAAGTAGTGTGATTGGAATTTTCCCATCTATAACCTAACATTGAATTTCTGTTTCTTGGTAAGTATTTTAATGATTTATATTACACATTATAATATTGGGGAATGAATTGTCTATAAAACTACTGTAGTCAGTAATAGCTAAACCATTATAATTATTCATGATTATTACTGATGGTGGTGGGAGAACTAGTCCGGAAAGATGAAATCCCAATTTATAATAATTTAGGTATAGTAAGATTTAAATAAATACTTGATACCGTGAAGATTATTATGGTTTTTCAATCTCCTAAAAAGATTACGGTCTGCAGTTTCGCTGGTTTATCACACACCCAATTGAAGTTTAATCACCGATTATGTCACCTTCTTTTAATAAAATCTACAAAAATAATTAGAAATGCAGAAAAACTGTTAACACTTACTGAATCTTGAACTTTTAAGAAAAACAATTCTAAGTGCAATCTAAACATAAATATTTATTTGTTTTGGTATTCAATATACCAGGCATTCTGGTTGTAAAACATGATAAAAAAATGAAAATTTTTGCAATAACAGAAGAACTTTAAGAGAAATATTCCTACTAATTTTTTTACAGATTAAAGGGAGATGACAGCTCAGATATTTGAAGACCAGGCCCACTTTTCTGGGTATGGAAAATACTTGGGTGTAAAAATTTCTCACGTACTGTTAAACTCAGCCGTAATTCTGTTATTTTCTAACTGGTGTTACAGCTTATGAGTTTTACTTTAAGAAAGTATCCATAATGAGCCATATGTAACACTCTCGATACTATATTAATTCCATCCTTATTCTCAACAGAAGAGGACAATAAAACTTAAGCTGACAGTAAAGGAAAAGAAAGAGAAAAGGCCTGGTTTTAATAATTACCATCAAGAAAGTGAAGTACCCAAATCGATTAAGACTGTACCTACATTAAGGTTGGTGTACTCGTTAATTTGAACTCGATGAAAAAATACGCCTTATTCAAATATAACAGGTATTGACCAATTTCAATAAGTTACAAAATAAAATTCACATGTCTCCAACATCCACATGTGAGGATTCTGAGGAGAATCTATGGGTCCAAGAAAACACAGGAAGGCTAAAGGTTAAGACCCAAACAGGAAATCTAAAGTGAGATAAAAGACCTAGAAACCGAAATATAGAACTAAGATTCTAAGGGTACATGATAAGAATGGTCAAAGGGAGACTAAACAAGAAAGTCAATGACAGAATCCGTGAATACAAGAACTTAAGAGGATATGTAAAACAAGTGAGAGGAAACAAAAAAATTGAAAATAACAGATAAAGACTGCATGGAAAGGGAGCAATACGGAAAAACAAAATCAGATCTTTGTGGAAATAAAGAACGGAAGAATACTTTGTATACGAAAGAGGGAATATATAATCGAATCGATAATATATTGAAGGCAGGCAGCAATGACGAGAAGATACAGAGAGAAGAAAAAAGCGAATGTGAGAAAGGAAAAGTAATGATATTAGAGAGATCATAGGCCGTAAAAGGCCGTATCGAGAAAAAGAAAATCACAATTTTCCTTATCCAATTAAATTATTATCAAACAAATTATTTATATGTATAGCGTAGTAATAGAGACTGACAAATCTTTTTGACTTGCATTATAAAATTCACATTGTAAGGTTTCTGTCTTGATTTATATGATAAATCAAATATACGTTAAAAAACTAACGAAACCCATCAATATATAAGAACAATGTATTTCTGATGCAATCACTGTCACAGTTGATAACGATAATTGCTTAGATTAGCTGAAGTGCGAAAATTCATAGATAGTCGTACAGAAGTAGTAGTTTATATGACAACAGCTGTAACTACCGTCGAAAGTACTGTTAGCAATGAAGCAAAATGTGTGATAACCGACATAATATGTCATACTGACATACAGTTTTCTTGTTTTGCAGAACTATTGCTGTTTTCTACAAGTTGTGAAAGAAATGCATTTCTTCTGCACCAAATATTTAAATTTCACTTAAAGATAATTATAATAGAATAACGTTATTTTAAATTGAAACCGTTCCTTTACTTATCTGATAATCAATCGATACTTCAACAAGTTTTTCCGTTTCTTTCATCCGTAATCGAATCGCCTGAAAAGAGTAATTTTTCATTGAGTGTCATAAAAGCATTTTTTGGTAGAACGTTCAAGTGTAGCTAGAGGAATTAATATGCTTATTATCCTAAATATATTCCATCTGATATGTTTCCACAAACATTTGTATACATATATATCTTTCTATAGAAATAGTAATATAAATAGAAAATAAACTTTATTCTGGGACGATGTCCCCTTAGAATAACAATAATGTAGTCACAAAACAAAAAAATACACATTTGGCCAAAAACTAACTTAATAAAGATTCAAACAATATATACAACTTAAATAATAGTATGTGAATTACTAAAAAATAAAATAAAATCTTTTTAACTATACTTATAATTTCACTGGAAAAAATAACAAAAAGAAAAAAAAGAATTACATGTATAGAAAGAAAAAGCAATAGAAAGATATATATGTATACAAATTGAGGAATGTAAGAAAACCTCTAAAATATACACAATCTTGTAGAAGGAAAAAAGAAAAATGGATAAAAACAACAAACAATCTCTTACTTTTTATAAAAACAACATTATAAAAGTGTTTAAAATCGGTCCGAAAATTGAACTTGAATGCAATAATTCAGTGTAATCATTAATACTTTATGTTCACAGTTTGTAACATTAATGATCAATGCATTAATAATTAAGACAATTGTTCTGCTTACAGACTGCTCTGGTTGCATTGTTTATTTAACTCATCTGTCTTAATATTTTAAGATATATTATGGTACTTAGTAAAATTATTTATGAACTGTGTATAAAAATGAATTTATTTTTAAAACGCGACCCCTAGTTGTGAAACCTAACATGAGGACAGCTAATGACAAACAGTACAAGACATACTCGATATGGAGGAAGGACAGATATGGGTTACCCAGATAAGAAGATGATATGTGCAGCTCGATATTAGGACGTTCGTACGGTACAGTATATTGTCAGCCGGGCAACAAGACAATGAGTTGGCTAAATAATGGTGGCTCCTTTTTTACATTAGCCTAAATATCTGAAAGTATATCGCGGTTAGTGTGGCCATTATCTCCCGCGCAGGTCACCTCTTGCCCCCCAAACCTATTATGTATACACAATTAGATAATAATATACGTACACGTTACATTAAATATACAGATTGGTTTGTATATACACAGGGTGTCTCGTAAGCAGACGAAACATTTTATATGATTGATAGTAGACCTTATGAGACTTAATGAGAAAAAAATCGTATAAATAATCATCAGGCGAAAGGTAGGAAATCCGAATTTTGTGGTTTTTAAAGCAATTTTTTTGTTGAATAGGAAACGATAACTAAAGAAATATTTATTGCTTCACTGTAACCTAGAGAAAATTGACTTTAAATGAAGATAGAGTTTATCATTGTTAAAACCTTTTAAAGAGGACTTTTGAGTAGCTTAACTAAGATCTGCTCTGTTTTCAAACAGAGTTTCATTTTTTTTTTATATATTCATGAGTTTTACAACTGTATACATTTAAAAATACATCTAGTAATTGTGCACACAGTAATAATACAATCACATGAAAACGCTTGTTGAGAACCTACCTATTGGAAGCACTCTAATAATATATTTACATAAGTAGATCACGAAGCCATCTTCTTTTCAGACGCCTTGGAGGGTTATCAGGTATCGAAGAGGAAGCAAGATTTGAAACGAGAGGGTTCGGATGGTCTTGAAGTTTGTTATGGAAGGATAGGTATCTGGATTGAGCTAAATCGGAAATATGTCGTACATTAAGGTCGTTATGGATGATTTTATTAGTGACAAAGTAAGCACTGAGAATTTTACGAAGGATTTTGGATTGTAAGAATTGGATACGAGAGAAATTCGATGGTTTAGTGGAGCCACAAAACTCAATTCCGTAAGTCCAAATTGGTCTTATCATAGTCATGTGTATAAGTCTTTTGTAATATATAGAAAGTTTAGAGCGTTTGTTTAGTAAGTGGTAGAGAAGTCGAAAACGTCGAGAAGTTTCTTGACGTTTCAGTCTTGCATGAGGACTCCAAGTGAGTTGTTTGTCCAGATGAAGTCCTAAGTATCGGATTTGTTCA